CAGGAGAAGGGCTCCAACCCCCCAAATCAAGAGGCCCAGAAGCCCAGTGAGACGCAGGAGGGGAAGCCGCCTCCCTCGGCCCAAGGAGGAGCTACAGAAGACCCCAAGAAGAAAGTGGGCGTGCTGAAGAGGAAGTTAGAGGTGGGTGGTCTCCATGGGCCCCGGGCCTCACGGGGGTGGGGGTGGCAGGCAGGAATCCCGCCAGCTCCCCGGTTGGGCACCCAGCTTCCTTCCTGGTTAGGACATGATTTGAAATATTTCTCTCCCTTCCCGAGATAAGCTGGCTATCCTCCTTTTATGACTGCAGGGAATCTGGGATTCAGAATTAGAATTAGAATAAGAATAAGAATAAGAATAGAACAGATAAGAGAATAAGAATAAGAATAATAGAATAATAGGATAAGAATAGAAAATATGGAATGGAATAAGAGTATATAGAATAGAATAATGAATAGGATAGGATAGGATAGGATAGAATAGAATAGAATAGAATAGAATAGAATAGAATAGAATAGAATAGAATAGAATAGAATTCTTTATTGGCCAAGGAATTTGTCTCCGGTGTAAATGGTCTCAGTGTACATAAGAAAAAAATGAAATACATTCATCAAGAATCATAGGATGCAACACTTAGTGATAGCCATAGGTTACTATAAGCAATCAAATCATATATAGGTTACTAAAATGCAATCAAAACATTCAAAGAAAACAAAATATAGCCAAGTGGGACTATGGCAGAGAAGGTGCATCTCGTGGTCCCACCCGCCCCAGCTGAGATTCCTTGGCCAAAGAGTATCCTGGAAGTTTGAGATCCAGCCCATCTCTAGAGCTCCCAGTTAGAGAAGGTTGAGGCTGTGGTTCTAGATTTTGGAAGAGAGGTCCTCTTCAAAAGAGGTTGGAGAGAGGCTGAGGCTGCCTAGCGTTGGAAGTTGGTATCTGGCACTACATGGCCTTCACAACGTCTGTAGAAGGACCATCGAGATGGTCTACAAATGGAGGAAGATGGGGTAGACCAGGGCTCTCCAAACTCCTTGGCCACTTTAAGACTTGTGGGCTTCAACTCCCAGAATTCTAAGACTTGTGGAATTCTGGGAATTGAAGTCCACAAGTCTTAAAGCGGCCAAGGTTGGAGACCCCCGCTGTAGACCACTCCGTGGTCCCCATTTCCTGCTGAGAAATCAGCCCACTGTTGTTTCCGCTGCTTCTCCTCTTCGGTGAAGAGTGTTATGGAAGAAGGTGATCCATCTCGTGTTGCGAGCAACTCCTTGATTTACCTGAAATACTATTTATTTATTTATTTTGTCTCTGGTCTAGCCTATCACAGTTGCTGAAACCTGGAAGGATGGCCCTTACGTCTTCATCCTTAGCATCACAAACCCCTTGCCCAACTGGGAGATCTCGAGTGAGTGAAGAGCCCAGTTTTGATGGCCCAAGCAACAACAACAAAAAAAGACTTTCTGATTTAAGTTATCTTCACCCGTAGAGGGGACTGTTAGAGGTCTTCTTCTAAAGGGACTTCAGGTGTGGGAGGCACTTTCATTTCCAACCGTTCAGTCCCCCTACCGAGTCTTCTTCGGTCTTGAGGCCTTCTGCACTTTGGACAAGAACGTGCCTCAAGATGTTCTTGAATCACCCTTGTCCTGGAAAAGGGGCGATAACTTCCAGAGGCCCATGCTGGGGTGGGTTTCAGGTGCCCACCAGCGGTCAAGGAAGGTTGGGTTGGAGTTCCATCACAGGTGCCTCTCCTCCTCCTCCTCCTCCTCCTCCTCCTCTCCAGAAGTTGCCATTCTTCTGCCAACTTTTTCACCCATCTCTCTTTCCCGTTCTGCCTTGTAGTTGACATTCAGATGAAACATCCTGACTACATCTACATCTCCGCCTCGGAGTGGCCCCTCAAGGTGGTAAGTCGAAGCTTTATGGCTCAGAGGGGGCAGGTGAGCAGAGGGCATCACGGCCTGTTTCTCCAACTCCACCCATCTCTTAAGTTGATTAACATGCCGCCTGGGGAATTCTGGGAGTTGAAGTCCACCCATCCTCAGGTTCATTAACATGCTGCCCGGGGAATCCCCCGATTGAAAGTTGCCAAGTTGGAAAAATTGTTCCAGAGCAGGGGTCTCCAAACTTGAGACGACTTTTAAGATCTGTAGACTTCAACTCCCAGAATTCCCAAGCGCGCCATGTGGCGTTAAAGCCCACCTGTCTTAAAGTGAACAGGTTTGGAGAGGCTGGTTTGACCCATAGAGTCTCGGTGGCACAGTGGTCAGATTGTGATACTGCAGGCCGTTTCTGCTGACTATTGCCTGCCCGCAATTTGGCAGATCAAATCCCACCAGGCTCAAGGTTGATTCAGCCTTCTGTCCTTCCGCGGTGGGTAAAATGAGGATCCAGATTGTTGTGGGCAAGAGGATGACTGTGATGACCCAAAGGGGCGTGGCACAAAGGCAACCCACTCAAATAAGCAAGAAGAGTCCCTTTATTATCTCCAACTTGGCCCCCAATGTCCAGGTTACCTTCGGCTGGAGAAAAAACTCTCCCAGGAACAGCCTTTAAGTGGAGGAAATTCGGTCCGAAAACAAAGTGCATACAGACTAACTAAAAATCCACAGAAACCACGCTGCGGTAATTAACTTGACAGGGCAGGAGAAGGAATTGCAGACTTAAAACGCGAGCAAAACTCACATAATTGGGAAGATGCCAGGAACCCAGATAAGCCTTGACGATACCAGATAAATTCACAACTTGCTCCCAACAGCTTGCTGTGTGTAGCTTTCCTTTTTAAACACTGTGTTCCCAGCTGTGGCTAATGAAGGGAATCAGGGCCCTTTCCTCCCCCGTAAGCCAGGCAACCCACGTTGCTTCTTTCTCCGTTCCTCCCTGCGTACCCTAGGATGAAGAGGGGGTGGGCCTAGGTTTTCCTACCCGAACTCCCTCTCCCTTGTTCTACTTCTCCCCTGCTCCGCACAGCCGGCCTTTGCCCTTCCCCAGTTTCTTCCACAGCCAATGGAGCCACACTCCCACTCCCTGTCAGCTGCTCGGCCTCCCCCTCCGAATCAGATTCCGACAGGGGCATGACACAGACTCCGTAAACCGCTTAGGGCTGTAAAAGCCCTGGGAAGCGGCATATAAGGGCTATAAAAGCCCTGGGAAGCGGCATATAAGGGCTATGGCTGTGGCTATAGTTGAGGGTTGAAGAGCGGCCCTTCCTGGCCCTCCCTTCGTCCCGCAACCTTCGCTCGCCTTCCTGCCCCTGCTTCCTTCATCCCTGGCGGGCTTCCCCTCTCTCAAAACAGTTTTACATGGTGATGTGCATCGTGTACGTGCTCTATGGCGTGTTGTGGCTGATCCTGCTGGCCTGCTACTGGCGGGACATTCTGCGCATCCAGTTCTGGATCGGTGGCGTCATCCTGCTGGGCATGTTGGAGAAGGCCGTCTTCTACGCCGAATTTCAGAGCATTCAAAGCGAGGGAGAATCAGGTAGGTAGAGGGACCCAGTTGGACTACAATTCCCATCACCCACCAGCCCCCACTGCAGGGGGCGATGGGTGCTGTACTGCAAGTGGACCTGGAAAGCCTCGGAGTGGGGGAGTCTAAGTTGGCTTGTTTCTTTCACGTCTTTTGTTTATTTTACGACCCTGGTTGAGTCCAACGTTTCTGTTGCTAAGTGAGGCAGTTGCTCCGTCAATTTTATGCCACTTTACGACTTTTCTTGCCACCGTTGCTAAGTGAATCACTGCAGTCCTTAAGTTAATCCTACGGTCGTTAAGCAAATCTGGCTCCCCTCCCCACTGACTCGTCAGAAGGTCACAAAAGGGGATTGCGTGAGCCTAGGACCGTCGTAAATAGGAACCGGCTGCCAAGCGGTCCGATTTAGATCACTTGACCTTTGGGGATGGTGCAGAGGTCGTAAATCTGGAACATGGTCATAAGTTCACTTTTTCAGTGCTGTGGCAATGTCGAACAGTCACTAAATGAACCACTGTAAGTCAAGGACTGCCTGTGTTACATTCAGGGACCGCCCACCTCACTGACAAAGTGGGCAGCTGGCAAACCTCAGAAAAACAGCTATAAAATGTTAAACCCTTTAAATATCCAATAAAGCAAAATTAAATAAGTTTTTTTTTTTTTTAAATGATGGGCTATTTGAAAAACTCCCACCATTTTGCAGGGTGGACGGCAGGCTGTCCAGTCTCCCTTGCCGTTTCGGAGTTGGAGGGGGGGGGCATGGCTGTTGGCTGGGGAGGATGGGCGTTTGAGTCCTTTTCATCTCCGTTTCACCAAGCGAAGGGTTGGCTTCTACCGGCCAAGATTGGCCCCTGTTTTCTGGCTTCCAGGCCAGTCATCTTTCATATAATATAATTCCTCTCATATAATATACGGGTCATATAATATTTGGGTCTGTGCATAATTTTTTTATTTATTTTGTCGTGTTTGTATAGTGCATACTGGAGATGGGGGACCCCTTGGAGAGCTGCATGCCCCGAAATTTGAATTTAATGCGTGCCGACTAAAGTGCGTTCAAAGGGACCGTAAAGTGACTCCCCGTCTCTCTCCTCTGCTTCCTTCTGCAGTCCAAGGCGCCGTCATCTTCGGCGAGGTGCTGTGTGCCGTGAAGCGCATGTTGGCCCGGGTGCTCGTCATTCTCGCCAGCCTGGGATACGGCATCGTCAAGTGAGAGTGGAGGAGGGTGCCCAGGGCACAGCCGGATAGCACAAAAGCCAGCCGGGGGGCTTCGCTCTCCCCTCCACCTCGCAGGGTTGTGGTTTCAGACGAGGCGGGGACATGACGTATTCATGCTTGCCTTGTTTAATGACACGAATCGGGGGGGCCACAACCCCCAGGGGCCTCTCCTGGCAAAAAGGGTTCGGTTTACTTGTAGGATTGGTCCGTTATTTGATTTTATTTAGGGAATTTATATTGCCACCTGTTCGCCCGGGGCGACTCAAGGCAGCTTACAGATTATAAAACCTCATCTAAAAACAATAACACGAATAAGGGTCCCATAATAAATTAATGTAATAAAACCACACACACCCATATACACACACGTTTGTTTATATCCTGCCTCGTTTTTAGAAATAACTCGAAGCAGTGAACATACTTAATATTCCTCTTCCTCTTTTTCCCGCAACGCCCCTGTGAGGTGGGTTGGGTTGACTGGCTCAAAGTCACACCCAGCTGTCTTTTGTGCCTAAGGCAGGACTAGAACTCACCACCTCCTGGGGATTGCCCCAAAGTCACCTGGTTTTCACACCTAAGGTGGAACTGGAACTCACCGCCTCCTGGGGATTGGCCCAAACCCAGCTGTCTTTCATCCCTAAGGCAGGACTAGAACTCACCACCTCCTGGGGATTGCCCTCAGGCCGAACCACCCTGACGCCCTGGGCTTCTCTCTCTCTCGCAGGCCGCGCCTGGGGGCCCTTCTCAACCGCGTGGTCGGCGTCGGGTTGATGTACCTGGTCTTCTCTATCATCGAAGGCGTCCTGCGGGTGAAATCGGTAACGGGGGGCAGAGGGGGCCGGGAGGGAGCCTTGCAAAGGGGGGGGGCGCTCTGGGGTCTGCTCTCTCAGCCTCTAATTATTCCCCCACACCCCAGGAACAAGCTAACATGGTCACCTTGACCTGCGAGATATTTCTCGCTTTTGTGGACTCCTGTATCACCTGGTGGATATCCTTTGCCCGAAACTTAGGCCTGCCTGCTCCCCTCTCTGGGTTCCAGGGTGTTGAGGGAGGGGCTTGGGTGGGGAGGGGGGAAGAGAGGAATCTGGCTTTGCAAACAGAATTAGCCCCTCAAGGGGGAAAAAAAAAATTATGGCTTCTCGGTCAGTAAAAAAACACGTCCCCCAAAAAAAGGATCCTAAATGAGGGAACTTATCCACTTACTGACTGATTTCGATTCCCACAGCCGCTCGTTCCCCCCCCCCAAGACCCTCCCCGCCCCAGTTTAGATAGTGGAAGGTGACAAATTTGGGGTTTTCCAAATGCCTCCCCTGCCCAGTTTTTTTAAAAATATGGGTCTTTTTCCCAAAAGGTGCATTGCTGTAAGAGGCCGTCCTCAACTTTCTGACAGTTCACTTAGTGGCCATCCGAGGTTCCGACAGCGGCTCCCCAAGGCCACTTATAGCTCAGTTTTCAATTTTCAACAGCCAGGGGGGTGCACAGTCATGTGACTCTCCCCCCCCCCCCCAAAAAAATAGTGTATGCTCAGCAACTGGACTCGCTTTGCAGCCATGTCATTAAAAAAAATTGCTTTTTATGACATTTTTGCCGAAAACCAGCTTTTATTTCTGGTTTTCAGCCCATTTCACTGGATGGCCATCGTAAATATTGTCAAATTGGGTCTGTCTCCTTTACAGCCATTGTGGTCATAAGCCAAGGACTAACTGCGAGTGGGCCCAAATCTCCTCTGTGGGTTTTCAAGACACCGTCCCCGCTCCCTTCCCTCGGTCTTCCGGTCCTTTCCCCGTAGCCCAGAGGTCTCCAACCTTGGCCACTTTTAAGACTTGCGGACTTCAACTCCCAGAATTCCCCAGCCAGCCAGGCCTGCTTTTCTCTCTCCCTCAATCTCCTAAAGTGGAGAGAGTTTGCAGAGGGAGGGATCGCAAGAGAGTAAGTTATACCGGCTGGAGGATTCTGGGAGTTGAAGTCCGCCAGTCTTAAAGTGGCCCAGTTTGGGGACCCCTGCCTTAGCCCGTTCCCATTTGCCCTCAGTTATCCCCAACCTGTGTTTGCAGCGCCCTGTTGCCTTCTCGTTCTTCCTCTCGGTCACTTTTTTGGGGGGGTTTCCTCCTCTTCCTCCTCTTCCTCCTCCTTTCTCTCTTGTTTTGTCCCAGGCTCAGGATGACTTGGTGCTGCTCGCAGCCATTCCCCTCGCTCTGCTTGACTCCGCTCTCTGCTGGTGGATATCCTCGGTGCTCCTAGCCTGCTGGTGGTGGTGTGTGTGTGTGTGTGTGTGTGTGTAAGGTGGCGGGGGGGCTCCGGGGTCCTGGCTGTGCCTCCTCCCCCTCCTGCCCAACCTCCCCAAACAGTCGGTCAACCGGTGGGCTTTCGAAAGGGAAAGGGGCCGTCCGGACAATGCGCTTGAGCTGGTTTCAGATTGGGGGGGGGTGGAGGGTTGGCTTTGTTGAGGTCTCTTGACTCCTCCCTCCCACCCGCCCCGCTTGACGGAGCTTGGAGCCCTGTGGGGTCGATCCCTTCCACACGAGCCAGCCGTGTGTGGCGGCAGCCAAGCCGGCCAGTGCAATCCTAGGCTGCGTTCACAGAGACGGAGAATCCAAATCACGCGGAGGGTTGGTACCGCTTTGCAAAGCCTTAGCAAGGCCACACCTGGAGTACAGCCTTAAGTATTGTGCCGCCACCTTGCAAAAAAGACGTTGAGGCCTTGGGGACAAAAATAAAAAGGGCAAAGAAGGGCATGTAAGATGATCAGAGGCCTGGAGACTAAATGCAGATATATAAAGAATAATTGCAGAAATTGGGTTGGGCCAGTCTAGAGGAAAAAAGGACTAGGGGGGGCACACGATAGCAGCCTTCCAGTGTTTGGGGGGGCTGCCCCAAAGAAAACGGGGGGGGGTTGTCAAGCTATTCTCCAAAAGTACCTGAGGGCAGGACAAGAAGCAACGGATGGAAACTCGTCAAGGAGAGAAGCAACCTGGAACTAAGGAGGAATTTCTTTAATTGTGAGAATAATTAACCTGTGGAACAGCTGGTCACCAGAAGTTGTGGGTGCTCCCATCACTGGTTGGCTCAGGAATTCTGGGAGTTGAAGTCCGCAGGTCTTAAAGGGGCCAGAGTTTTCCACCCCCGCTGTGGAGGGTTTAGGGGCCACAGGGTTGCAACCGGGAAGGTTGTCCATGTGCAGGTTTTGGTGCAAAACCTACCCTGATGAGCTCAACATCAGTCTGGGTTTTAACCACCAAGCTGTCCTCTCTGGAGAGGCACCCAGTTTCCTCTCCCCTTGATGGGGGTCCCATCTTGGCATTTCCCCCCTTCCCACCCCCCACCCCTTGCCACGCTGTTCTCCTTGACCCCCGGCACATCCTGATCAGCGTGGTGCAGACCATGAAGCTGCTGAAGCTGCGAAGAAACCTGGTTAAACTCTCTCTCTACCGCCACTTCACCAACACCCTCATCTTCGCCGTCATAGGTGAGTTGGGGACGGGGGTGGGTGGGGGGCTTTGTGGGGATGGGGGAGAGCCACACTGCTCAGTTGGGGTTGAGAAAAGCTCTGTTGGGGCCAGAACTTGCTTTAAAGAGCCAATTTGGTCTAGTGGTTAAGGCATCAGGCTAGAAACCAGGAGACAGTGAGTTCTAGTCCTGTCTTGAGGGTGAAAGCTGGCTGGGTGGCTTTGGGTTAAGTCACCAGGAGGCTGGGAGTTCTAGTCCCTCCTTAAACATGAAGGTCGACTGGATGAATTTGGACAATC